TGTTGAGCAGGGGGTGGTTTTGCGATGGGTTTGGGTTGATTTTAGGGTGGTGTTGGTCGTGTTGCTGCTGTTGCTGATGGCGATGATGATGATGTTGTTGCTGTTGCTGTTGATGATGATAACGATGATGATAATGGTGATGATGATGATGATGATGATGATGATAGGGTGGTTGCAAAGCCGTTCAAAAAAGGAGTAACAATGAAATTATAGCAGAACACAGCAACAAATAGCATTTGGGAAAAACTCAAAAGCGAGTCAGACTGACAAACAGACGGACAGACAGACAGAACTAGAAGAAGAAGCAGCAGAGGCAGCAACAGCAGAGCTGGCAATAGTCCTCCTTGTTTCAACTTTAATACATCATCGAAGGGAACACAAAAGGAAAGAGCATGCCAGACACCTGGTTCGCTTTTACGTCTGCCCATTTCTTTTTTTTTATTTTCCTCTTTTTCAAATGGGTGCAGGATCAACAGTTTTTGGGTTCTGGCTATGTTTTAATGTTGCTGTTGCTGTTACTGTAGGTGATTGTCTATTTCTGTTACAGCTGCCACTTCCTGGCCCGTGCCACGCGAGCGTCACACTTCGTTCGATTCGAGCATGCGGCAAGCACTACGAATACACTCTTACAAAATTACAGTAAATTTTTGTAAATTCCCAAATTCCTGGCGCCTTTTTATTCAGACAGTAAATTTCTAAAATTTATGGTTGTGGCTTTCTAAAAACCATTTGAATTTATACATTTCAGGCTGGATTTGTGCGTGTTGTTTTCTAAGTATGAATTTTTATATTAGCTTTTCTATTACTTATATTATTATTAAATATAAAAGTTTTGATTTCATATATATATAAACAAAGGGAAATTTTCAACTTAGGGCAATTTTCTAAAATTGAGCCGATTTTTTTCTACGTGTAGGAGTAGGAGTTTCGGAAACAGCGGATTGCAGTGGCAGCCACTGCGGGCGTTCTATTTCGCTTGGCAACGCCAAAAAGCGTTTGGCAAGCTGACAATTTTTCGGGCATAACACACTCATTCACCCACCAGCGAACCACCGCATCCCCCCCCCCCACCCAACCACCCCCAACCAGCTGGACAGCTGCACTTGTAGAGCATTTCCTGTTTTTTGCACACACTCGCAGACGCGCTCAACTGGATCCCTGGCCTCAAAGCGAGAGTTGCGCCGTGTTGCACCTTTGTTTTAATGTTTTCTGTATCGTTCCTTTTATTTACCCCTAAACTAAGGCTAATAACGTTCGGTAAAGGAAGAAAAGCTGACGTTGCTTTAACCATATTGTCCTGTTCCTTGTTCCTTGTTCCAGGTGAACGAATCTCGCTTCGGTTTCCTGTCATGACGCGACGCGTGGCACCTACCCCAAAAAACCCAGCCTCGAAGCCATATGGCCCTGGCTATACACATATATATATATATATATATATATATGTGTGTATACTCGCCTCAGTGCATCTGCGCGTGCCTCTCAGCGCGATCGCGATCATATTTTAATTTTCATTCACATTTGCCACCCCCTAAAGCGGCTAACGAAGCGCAACAATTTCGTGGCAAGTTTGGCGTCCTTCGTTGCAAAGGGTCGCGGCAAGTTTACTTTTTGTTTTTAGCTGGAAAAGCAGATTACAATTTAGAGGAACGAACCCTATGTGGTTTCACTACACGCATAAAAAACATCGCCTTAAAAAATATAAAGTTTTTCTAAATTCTATTCCTTAAATTTAGAAATGCTTGCGATAAATCGACAATGCAAGAAATATAAAAGATTTTTGTACTTTTTAGAAACCTTTTCTATCATTAAGAAATTCATTTTTAAAATAGCATTGCTATTCGGACTCTTGGAAAATAAATCCTTTCTAAAAGCTCGGCTTTTATATTAGAGTATGGCTTTGAATTTATAAGCTATTTAAAGTGTGTATATGAAAACTTAAAACACAAATGTTTAATAATAATATAAGTAAAAAATAATAATATAGGAATTCTCAAATGCATAGAAAATAAGTCACTATAAATTTGACAGCTATTTTTTTAAAACATTTTACAAAATATTGGCGCCAAGTGTTTTCTCTAAGTGTAAAAGCAGGACTTGGGCGTTAGCATATTTAGGGCTTCAATTTCCATAGGTGCTCTGAGCCCTGAGAAGCCCATTGTAATTAGTGCAGTCGAATTCCAATTCGAATTCACAGATGGTCGGTACGTTACATTTCAAAGAATGAAAGTATGAGAGGTCCTTGAGGTCTGACAGCTAGATGGATTGTCCATAAAATGAATAGCATTTCTTGGCTTTTCAACAAGAACAACAACATTTAAGCCACTCATACTCAAGAGGCCATATAAAAAGGGGTTTCAAACTGTCAAATAATCTGCGATATATTTATTTGTTTATTCCACTGAAATGAATACCTTTTTGAAAAAAAAAAGGCAGTGCAATGCACTCTATAAAAAGAAGAAATATTAATAGAATAAATCATATTTGCGCTTAAGTAAAGTCGAAGCTCATTCAATGTGACAGTTGGCGAAGCTCAGGCAAAAACAAAAGTTTGGTTCAATTTTTGGGGCACTTTGTGTCTTCATTAATTAGAGTTGGTGTAACAACAATTGGTTCAACAAATTATGCCTACGATTTTTGGGGTCTCCACTCAATTAATTATCGGGCTGATGAACATATTGAAAAGTAATGCCTAACAATTAATAATTAATATTTAATGAACACTTCAAGGATTGCACTTGGATCCAATGGCTTTTTGAGGCTTATACTACATTCGAAAGAAAAATCGCACTACGTTTTTTTTAAAGAAGGTCCAACCTTCCATTTTAGAAACCTACTTGCTAAGGAAGGAGCTGAGCTATCATGAGTGCCAAAAGTATGTATATATTGCTTCGTATTTCAATTCATAATTATTTAATATTGAACACTTTAACATGGCTTAGTTTTATGCTCAATTTTAATCATTGCCAATGCTGCAAATGCCTGATTATTTCAATCGTAAATTTCTTCTAACGTGTCCTGACCTTTGCTATACGAAATACGAAACGCCCAAAAAGCCAAAAAGCTTTAATGTATTTGCTGTCGAGTAGAGCCCGAATCCTAACTGTACCCCTTGCCACTTTCCACCTGCCCAGCCCCTGCCACCCGCCCAGCTACCACCCATCCAACTCGACTCGTAGCAATCAACAATGCCGCAATTCAACGACGACTGTTGCTCAACTACCCCACATCCCCACCCCCTTCCCCTTTCCCCCTTCCCTCTTCCTCTGCCGCTCACTTCGTCCATCATTTTTGGCAATTTGTTCAAAATCAAAGTTGAGCAACAAATGCAATGCAACAGCAAGAGCAATTAACTCGGCACAACTGCCACATTCGACGCTCAACGTTCAACGCTCACCGCTCCACAATTTCCACATTCGACGCTCGACGCTCGACTCTCGACGCTGTTGCAAAAATCCACCCCAAAAACTGATGTTCAATAACAACAAAAAAAAAAGGAGCCATGAGCCATGAGCCATTTCAGCCAATTCAGGTACGTGCCACGGTGGAGAGAGGGAGACGTGCAACAATTGGAGGAAACAAGGCTGTTGCGGTACGTGTGGCAATGGCACACTACTTCCTGATTGTTGTTGGATCCTTGCTGGGCTCCAATACACCATCAAACATGGTCTGCTGAAAATCGAGGCTCATCTTTAATTTTCTAAAATAATAAAAATAATAAAATAGTTACAATTGCATTTTTTTTTGTTTAGAATAAGCTTAATTATTATTCAATTAAATTTCAATAACTTTTTAATCTACAACAATTAATTAATCTACTAAAATTATAAGCAAACTAAAATGATTATGTTATTATTATTATATTTAATTTAATTTAAGTTTGAGTTTTGTTTTAGTAAATTTCAACAATTTCCCCTTTGTGACGTGTGCAGCTGTCTTAAAAGACACGCAACAGCTACGCTATTACTATATATATATATATATATATATATATATATATGTATATGTTTAAATATATATATATATATATTTGGGGGTTGTTTAGGGGCTGTCTGTGTGTGTGTTCCATTCCATTCCGTTTCGTTCCATTGCGAGTTCGTTGTCGTTCTCTCTTTCCATTTCCATTTCGTTCGGGGCAACCCTTATAAGCGACATTTCGTTGAGCTGTCATCTCATAAGCATTCAAGAGTTGCTTACGTTCGGTTCGTTCGCATTTCTTCTCTATCTTATATAATATTATATTTTTCTCCTAAATCAATTTTTTCACTACCAACACAACAACAACAATAATTCAAAACTCAACTCAAGCAACTTTTCAAAACCAACAAACACTTGTGTCAACTTAACTTAACTTTTACAACTCTCAACTCTATACACTTTTTTTTTGTTAAAAAAAAAAACGAATAATAATAAATAAATAAAAAATCAAAAATAACAAAACTTATTTAACGCGACAACAACAACAACATTTCATTTGCAACAATAATAAATAACAACAACAAATAAATAATAATAAAAAACTAACAAGCCAAAGGATATATCTATATATATTTATATATATATATGGAGCAATACAATTACCAATGAAACACTTCACCCTCGCCTCCCCCTCGCCCCTCCGCCCACTTGCTAAGAGAGTTATGTTTTAAGGGCCGTTGTGTAAAAAACAAACGTAAACGTTAACGCAAATGTAAATGTAAAAATCGATAAGCCACACGCAGCCAACGCAAACGCAGCAAAACGTGTCCGTGTCCAAAAAGCCCCCCCCAAAAAAAAAAAAAAAATCCAAAAACAAACCCGGACCAAAGTTGACCAAAATAAAGAAAAAAACACACTACAATTTTTGGCACCCAGTGAGAAACAACAACTAAAACAACTCCTGAGGGAAGACAATGAAGAAAGCGCAGAAATGTGTAAAGTGGCTGTGAAATTTGGAGTATCCTAACCAAAAACCAATAATAAAAAAACCCCAACTAACCCAACAAACCGAACAAACCAACAAAACCAAAAGAACCGCAAAAATCCATTTATAGGAAACAATAAAATGCAAAATTGACAAATGATCAACTGAGGAAAAAGCAACAGGAGAAAGGAGACGAGGAGCAGCCGAGAAAATGCTCTGCAACAACAACTCTATAAGACAACTCTAAACTCTATACATTTCGGCGAGCCCAAACTAATTTCACAATAATAATAATAATCATAAACAATAATAATAATAAACAAATGCAACAAAAATTTTCCTTTCCGATTATACAACACCTAAAAACGATCTTTGCTCGTACGAAAGAAACCAAATTCAGCTTCAGCACTTAACAACACTTGACTTGTCTACTGAATAACTGTTCAACTGCTTAACTCAATCCCTCAATCACTCAATCCCTTTATCACTCAATCAATTGCTAAAACATGCCGCGCTGCCTGATTGCCAAGAAATGGAAGGCATATCCGTGGCTGGATCGGTCCGAGGATAATGCCGGCACAGTCCGAAATGAGGAGCAGCTTTCGCAATCCAATCTCAAATCGCGTCGCTCAACACTGGACGACGATGAAGAGATCGACGTTGTCGGTGACAAGCTGCACACCAGACAGCAACAACAACAACGCACAATAATTATGACAACAGCAGCAGCAGCAGCAACAGAAACAACCAACGACTGCACAACAGCAACATCCACAACAGCAACAGTTGCAACTGCAACAGCCACAGCAACTGCAACCACAACAACAACGGCCAAGTGCTGGGGACCCAGCTCACCAACGGCGGGCACAACGGCGCCAAGTCCGCCGCCACATTCGCCGGAGGCAGCAACGCGTGGTGCGACCAATGTCTACAATGGTAAGTTGCAACCAACAACACTTTTCAATATAATTTAATTCAAAATATTAGGAAAACAAGTTTCTAAAATTTGGAAAGGCTTGCCCCAAATCGATAATCAGCTTTATTTCAAAATATTTTGTATAATTAAGAAAAGCATTTCTAAAAGTTGAAAAGCAAGAAAAAATCAACATAAAAATGAGAATGATTGTCTTGTTTTTAGAAATAATTTCATAATATATACGAAAAGATCCTTTTTTAAATTAGAAAACCTGGCTCTAAATAGACAATTCCAAAAGTCTGGCGAATTTTTAACATTTTCTTTTATTAAGAAAATTGCATTTGTAGAAGTAAAAGAAATTCATTCTTAAATTCAGAAACTCACAAAAGATACAATCAGACCAAATCAATTATTTTTTGCCTCTAAAATCGTTAACTATTCAAATAAATGATATACATTTTAGAGAAATCCTCTCCTGGTTTCTAGAAAGCAAAGCTTAACAAATTTTGATGAATTACTATTTATTTTAGATTGTCGAGTTAGGACAAGCCTTTCGAAATTATAGAAGTTTTTGCTTACTTCCCACTTTTTAGAAATTCATTTCTTAATCGTATTAATCATATTTTTCTAAGAAATAAAAAAAGCGCCAAGAATTACAAAATTTAATAGATCATATTTATAAAGAATTTAAAATTTTTGGGGCTGTCGATTTAGGGAAAGTCTAAAATTTGTTTTTATAAACTTTATATATTTTTTTAAAGCGATATTTTTGATATGCTGAGTGCAGTTGCCACATTTGTGTAGCATACTTATCTCCTCTTGAAACATGTGCTGAAAATCTGACCTCAAATTTATACAACTCTTAAATTTATGCATTCTCTTCTTTGCCACACCTCTTTTCCCGGTTGCAGGGTACACGCGTGAGCTGTCGCCGTTGCACTACACAGCGTACCTGCCCCGCATGGAGAGCGAAATAACAGTAATACGTGCGGCAGCCACAGCACTGGTGGCAGCCACAGCTGGCGAGCAACAACAACAGCAGCAGCAGCAGCACTTGGCTGCCTATCAGACGCCACCATCGTCGACGACCTCATCGCCATCCTGCTCGCCCAGCTACAGTCCGGGCGCGTTGCACATCAAACTGGAGTCGGGGCAGACGACCAGCGAGCGGAAATGCTTCAGCAGCACGGGTGCAACGCTGTCGCTACCACCGAAGAAGAAGGACATCTACAGACCGTACTCGCTGGACGACAAACCGGCGCAGGGCTACCGGAGACGTGTCCCCGCCGAGGAGGATCTGCATGCGGCACATGCCATACTCGATCTGAGCGCCTCGACAGCATTCCACCCGCCCACGCAGCCACATCAGCTGCAACAGCAACAGCAACAGCAGCAACAGCAGCAGCAGCAGCAACAACAGCAACACTTACCACACAGTCATTTTCAGACGCACGCCCTTGCCACACCGTTGCTGGAGGCGCATGCGCTGGTGAGAAGCACCTCATCGATTGCCGAACTGGCGGCAGCAGCCAGCGTGGTAAACGAACAACGCCCCTTAAGCAATGCCAGCAGCAACAGCAACAGCAGCAATTGCAGCAGCAGCAGTCCAGTCAGCAACAGCAGCAGCAGCAACGGCCACAGCAACACTTGCCACAGTCACAGCAACAGCCATAATAACAGCAACACCAACAGCAACAGCAACAACAGCAGCCACAGCAGCAACAGCAACAATTGTCACGCCAGCAGTCACAGCAACAGCCACAGCAGCAACAGCGGCAATTGCCATGCCAGCAGCAACAATTGCCATGCCAGCGGCAACACTTGCCACAGTAACAACAGCGTGCAAAATGAGAACAGCAACACGACAAACACAAATCCGCAGCGAAGACTCAATCACAGTCTGCGCCAGGTATGCGGCGACGACATCGATAACGATGCAGATATTGAGAACGATAACGATAACGACATCGATAACGATAACGATGACAGTACCGGACAAGCAGCCAAAACCGTTGCGTACACCTACGAGGCATTCTTCGTCAGCGATGGTCGCTCAAAGCGCAAACATGTCATCGATGCGGCTGCCATCGTCATCCCGGATCAGCAGAAGACCAAATACACGTGCTCCGAATGTGGCAAGCAGTATGCCACCTCCAGCAATTTGTCGCGCCACAAACAGACGCATCGCTCCCTCGACTCGCAGTCGGCCAAAAAGTGCCACACTTGTGGCAAGGCCTATGTCTCAATGCCAGCTCTGGCGATGCACGTATTGACGCACAAACTCTCGCACAGCTGTGGCGTTTGTGGCAAGTTGTTCTCCCGCCCCTGGCTGTTGCAGGGGCATCTGCGCTCGCACACCGGTGAGAAACCCTATGGCTGTGCCCATTGTGGCAAGGCCTTTGCGGATCGCTCCAATTTGAGGGCCCACATGCAAACCCACTCGGTTGATAAGAATTTTGAGTGCAAGCGTTGCCACAAAACGTTTGCTCTCAAATCGTATCTCAACAAGCATTTGGAGTCGGCCTGCCTCAAGGATGAGGAGGAGCTGATGCTGGCCATGTCGCTGCATGGACACACGGACAGTAATAGTGAAAGTGGCGCCAGTTTGGCATCCCCGCCACACGAGTTTATGGAGCGTGTCAAGCTGGAGGGTGCAACTGGAGCAGGAATAGGCGCAACAGTTGCAGCTGGAGTTGGAGCATCAGTTGGCATCACTTATGCCATCTAAGCAAATCATATATATATATATTGAGTAAGTTGTGCAATCGACAAACAACAGCAACAACAGCAAAAAAAAGTCATAGTTAATTTACCGTTAATATTGAAAAGTTATCGTTATCGTTGTCGTTATCGATAGCGTTTTATAAATATGATTAAATACGATTACATTACTTGACATCACAATACGTCCAGAAGCAAGTGTAGTAGAGTAACACAGAGACTGTAGAAATTCGCATTAGACACACGAAAAAACCAAAAAAAAACAAAAAAAAAAAAAACAAAACAAAAAAACAAAAAAACAAGTAAAGGAAAGGAAAAAAGCCCAAAACTCAATACACTTTAGTAAACCTAATCTCGTTCTTCTTTTAGTCTTAAGCGAGTTGAACATTCCTAAAGCCTAAAAATACAAACATTCCAAAAACAAACACCCAACACACACAGACTCACACACAGACTCACACACACACACACCACACAGTAAGCCTTTTGCTGGCGGTGCAAAAACCGAATGCAATCCAAAACCTGAACTTGAGCAATTCTATGCTAGGGAAATTCTAGCGCTATCTATAACAACTATATCTATCCAATGATATATATACTATATACTTGCATATACATAACGATATGTACTATATATATACATATATATATATATATATATATATATATATACATAACCTGTAGCTATCAACCACTTTTAGTCTCCACTCTAACTCTAAACTCTAACTCTATCTAAAAATAACTTAAACGACGAAAAAATCGAAATGGAAAATGAAAAATCGTAAAAACTCGAACATTTCTCTTTTTTAATCGAAAACGTTTACGAAGACGACGAAGTGATTAAAATTAATGCAACGAATACAAAAAGCAAATGCAATGTTTCTCAAACAACGAATTAGATCATAAGGGCAGCCGTATCTATAAGAAAAGTATATAGAAGTTTATAGAGTAGCGCCACGCAGCAGCTTTTTTCCACATCAAATCACATCAAATCAAATCACACATTATTAAACTAAGTCACATAGCTGAAATTAAGCACTCGAAAATTGAAAAAAAAAACAAAATAACTTAAAAGTTAATTCGAAAAAATCCCCAAGAAATTTTAATCAAAACGAACAAAACGCAAAACAAAATATATACCATATATATATATATATATATATATATATATGATAGATCATCATCAGCATTATTGGCACACATTTATATATATATATTTTCAACAGTTTTGTTATCATTTGAGGGCTAGAGAACAGGAGGGGAAATCAGATTGAAATAGATTTTTTGGGCATATTATTTAAAGAGCATTTTCCAATTTCCCAAGTCAATTAAAAAAAATGATAAACAAAAATATATATTTAAAAATACGTTAAGGCAAGAATTATAATTTATACTAAACAAAGAAATCTAGTCGCTGTTTAACAGCCAAAGTTTTTTAGTTACCAGAACCCAGTTAAAGATATATAAATATATATAGAAAGATATAGTTTTAGAGCATTGCATTCTGTTGTGGCCCATAATTAATTATCGACAAAAGAGACCAATCGATTTCGAACTCTCAAATCCGTATTCGAGAACGCATTAAACGTGCCCCTCAACATATATATATATATACCTATATATATATATATATATGTTAATGTATCGAGTGTGATCTAGTCTCAAGCATTTAACAGTACACTTCGTCCATGCGTAACAAATAAAAGAAACAAAGAAAGAAAGAAGGAAACTTAACTTAACTTAAATACTTTTTGCACTTTTTCGAAACTTACCTAGTACGATGATATTACTTAAAACCTATGTACTTAAATTATGTAGCTCATACAACTATGTTCATTACTCATCACTTATTCGCAATTACAACAACAACAACAACAACACACACACACACATATACAAAAACACACAACAAACACATTATAAACAAATAAGCTGCACAAAAAAACCCAAATGTATATAGTATTTAATCCGAATATATAACTCAACTGAAATCAGCTTCAGCGACCGATCTCAAAATGAAAGTGCAACGAACTTTTTTGGCCATAGTCGTAGTGAAAAAAGAAACAAAAAGAAAACTTAGCATAAAGAGTAGCAATGTTTAGATCAAGCCCCAAGTCAAACCTTGTTGAAATGGAATCTATATATATATCTATATATAGACATATATATACAGACATTTAGAATACGTATGTAGTTGCGTAATATTTACAATTATATATACAGACATGCATAAATATACATATATATATATATATATTATATATTAGTATTTAGTATTAAGTTTAAGTATAATCACAACAAAAATTATTTTTATACTGTTGACAGAGGGAGAAGGGAGTGGCAAAGAAAATCTTTGAATCGATGTCGAAATCGAAAATTCGAAAATCGGCTAAAGTACCAAAGCAATACTCAAAATGAAAAAGCAAGCAAAGCAAACAAAATATTCAATTAGAACTTAAAAGAAGAACAAACAAGCTACTTATAGTCATAGTTACCAACTTTTATTATTATTTACGCGCATTTTCGTTCACAAATGTAAATTTCCATATATATATATATATAACTTGGAATTCATGTTTCTGTTTGTTTCATTTCAAATTAACGAAGCGAGAAATATTTAATTATTCAAAGAAATTTTGTATAACAATGTAAGCAAAACTTTTGACGGCGGCTGCAAACAAAGTAAAAAAAATGCATAATTAATTATGTGAATGAAAGCAATAACATAATGGTTAATCAATTTATTAGTCCATAAGTAAGTCTAAGGTTGAAACTATTTAAAATTAGTAAAGACAGCACACAAAAAACAAAAACAAAAAAACGAATAAGAAACAATTATAAAGTTTTAAAATATATATACAATACATATATACATAAATACTCACACTAAACACAAAGAAAATAATGGTTTTTATTTTGACAACGATTTTGATTTTTGAAAACGATTTAAAAACAATTTTCCCTGGGAACTGGACTCTTAAAATAATTTTCATCATTTTCTGCATTAAGCTGAGTAATATTTAATGAGTTCCGTTAGATCATAATATATATATATATATATATATAGAAAAAAAACCAAACAGAAGAGAACCCAAAAGCAATTCGAATATTGTGATAATTCCACACACACAATTACAAAGCTGACAGCTGACTAACAATATTATATATATAAAAAAAGAATCATTAATTCATTCATTTTGCTCAACTGATAAACAAGAAAAAAGTCGAAGAATTATTGAAATGAGATCCAGGAAAAAACTATAAATAGCATAACGTGTATCGAGAAGCAATAAAATGTAGTTTGTAAAAAAAACATAAACATAACTTGACAAAGAATATTTTCAACATTTTGAAATTTTTGAATAACCAAAATGACACGTAGTACATAAATTGCATATACAAGTAATATATACATAATATATATATATATCTAGATATATATGATATTTGGAAAAGCTTTACTCCAGCAAAAAAAATATTAAAGAATCGGCGGTTACATTTTTGTTTTCAAAAAGTACCCGTTTTCTGGTTTTCAGTTTGGTTTGATAGGTTTCGTCAAACACGCACACACACACACACATACACATGTTATAGGTTCGTCCAACATTCTGAAGGATCATGTTGAAAATACGAAAAATGAAAAAATTGTTAAAGTTGATAATATTTTTAGCATAGCATATTGAAAAACCAAAAAATAGTTGTATATTCAAACGGAACCAGCGCAACTTTAAATACTACTTACAAATTGTTGAATTTCCAGTGTTGGGTACCATTATTAGCTTCGTGATCCATTGTTTCCATTATCTGTTGCTGACCAACCCCTCACCCCCGCACCCTCCCCTGCACCCTATACAGCAAATGTTGTCCTTTTTTGTGTCAATGCATTTTAACGAGCGCTCGTTACGCAGAACCAAACAAAGGGAAAATGTAATAAACTACTATACAAAAGAAATAGAAGATGGGGAAGAAGAGGAAGTGGAAGAGGAAGAGAGAGTGAGCGCGTGTTTTCCTCCCCGACCTCCACCCCACCCACAACTCTACCCCTTACTTATAATCCTTGCCAACACTTCCGATTTCATTATTGAATTCTTCCCAGTATTCTGCGTATAATTTGCATGGGTTTGTAAATAGTTTTAGTATTATTAGTATTTATAATTTATACAAAGCAGTAATACTTACAAAAAAATTAAAAATAAAAAAAACACGTAGTGGCAATGAAAATTATGTAAAAAAGTAAGAGATAAAGAGATAAAGAGCAACAAAGCAATGATTAAACCAAAAAAAGACTTAGCACGTTAACACGAATAATTTATAAAAATAAAAACAAACAAAAAATTAATATTAAAAAAAAAAAACTAAAAATAAATTATAAATACTTCAAATGCAATTGTAGACAAAAAAAAAGAAGATAAAGAAGAAGAACAAGAACAACAACCAAAATAAAAGACTAAACACTTTGAATACATTATGAAAAAAATCGAAGAAAAAACTTATTTACAAATATTGTAATAAAAAAATATAATTGAGCAAAAAAAATTAACGAAAAGCAAAACACAGCAATAATAAGCTAAACTAAACAACAACAAAAGCGAAAGAGAAACACAAAGAGCAATGAGCAATAGGGCATTACGTAAGTAAGTAAAGTAACCAAAAAAGTATTATTAACAACAACAAAAAAGAAAGGGCGATAAATATTTGGAAATCGTTAAACTATTGCAATAAGTAAGCGAAACCAAAAAAAACATATTTATGCACTATACAAAATTAGCATAATACATACATACACACACATACATATGTATATACATATACATACGTATACATATAAATATATATATATATGAAATATGCATACAAATTTAGCCTTTAGTTTACCAAAAACAGCAAAAAATATAAACAAATAAAATAATTAAATAAGCCGTAGCGATTTTGGATTTAGCTGCATAATGAATTGATTAAACGATTATTATTATTATAATTAGTTACCAATATATACATATGCTATATATATATATATACATATATATATATATAAATATATATATATATATATATATATATATATATATATATATATATATATATATATATATATATATATATATATATTTATATTTAAAAAGGTAGAATTGTTTTTGGCATATTGTTATCGCAACTTTTGTGCTGCTTTTGACGAGACCAATTGATGTACTTTATACAACGAAAAATGAAAAACGAAAACTGAAAATGAAAATGAAAACTGAAAAAAAAACTCATCTTATGTTTTTGCATAGGGCATTGTTGCGATAGATTTAGTACATTAAACTAATACAAACAAACGAAAAGGAAACTTACAAGCAATACCTATACACACGTTGATGAAGAGTTACAGCGTAGAAATAAATCATTTTAACTTGTATTTAGCGCACACACAGACAAATGCAAACACAATCACACACACACCCACACACACAGATACATACGCGTAAAATGTAGCATTGTAGAAAAGTAGCGTTTGCAATTAGTTATTATTAGAAGAACAAGAACAACAAACACACTCAGCAAAGAAACAAGATACAGTTAGACACACACACACACACACACACACACACACACACACACACACATGTAA